CCGAGGTGTGTCCGCGGGCCTGGGAGGTACCCACCCCCTTTCTCGCCGCCCGCGGGGCCAGGCCCCGCTGCTGTGGTGCGCGGGGGTGGGGGTGTGCCGTTACCATGGCAAGGGTGAGCTAGGAGGGCACATTCTTCCCCAGGGTGGGAGCGCCCTGGGGACAGGAGAAGGGGGGTGACGGGGGCGGCAGAAAGGGGAGCAGGGGATGGTCAGAACAAGGGAGGAGTCTCGGACAAGATGAACCAGGGTTTCTGAGGTTGGGGCGGGGGAGTTTGGAATCTGTTCTCTCCCCTACTCCAGTTCTTCTGAGGTGTCCCTCTCCTCCTCCTCTTGCACCCTTCTTGGGGTTCAAGGCCTCCCCGTTTCCAGGGAAGGGACATCATAACAGACCCAAACCCCTTTTGGCTATTCCATGCCTGTGAAGCTAAGAGGCCTGCGCCACTCCACTCCCAGTAGCGGTGAAGACCATACTGCTTGCTAGCCACTGCCCTGAAATTAAGCCCCTCTCCCAACCCCGTGCCACCCGTCCTGCCTCTGCCTGGCCCAGTCCGCTGCCAATTACAGCTTTTTCCAGCAGGTTTACCTCGGAGACCCGGGAGAGGCTGTGGGTGGGGACAGCAGGCAAATCAAGAGGGTGGGTCTTGGGGGTGTCCTTGACCCCCCCAGGGTCCTCATCTGGAGCTTCAGGTGGCGGGTGTGTGTGTGTGTGTGTGTGTGTGTGTGTGTGTGTGTGTGTGTGTGTATGTGTTGCAACGTCTGAGGTCCAAGGCTGGCTGTGTGTACTCAAAAAGTTCAAGGCCTTAAGGCCTATTCTTTTTTTCCACCGCAGGCTGCCGCGTGGGTCTCTCCTGGCCGCACGCCCTGACCGATGGACCCAGCTTGGTCTTGCTGAGCCACCACAGGGCAGCCGCCAACAAGTAACTGATGTTTTGTGAAAGTCACAAAACGGCGCCCCCTTTGGACAAGAGGGTTCCCCTTTATTGTCCAACGAAGAAAAGCAATCGGGGAGTCTGCAGAGGATCGGCCTTGGAGCTTTCTGCCACTACCCTGTCCCCTGCTGTTCCTTCCTGCTCTTCCCTGCGGGTTAGTCTGCAGGGGCTCGAGTAAAGCTTCGCGCCTCCTGCAGTGCGGCTACTCACATCTGGCCGGCAGCTGGGAGCCGCCCACCACAAACTACTGGGTACACGGCGCCCTCTGTTGGTGCTGAGTGGCGACGCACCAGGGCCTGTGTCGTGCGCCTCTGAGATCCTGGGGTTTCCGCTCCTGATCCGTGGGTCTGAGGTTCCTTCCACTCATTCCGTGTCCTTTGCCTGCGGAAAACCCCCACCCTCTGACTCGCATAGCTCCAAAATCGTACTCTGAGGGCCCATAGTTTTCTGCCGGTCACGATCGATCATGCTGATCATCTGTTTTGCACGCACTTGTGCCTAAAACCCAGCCTAGTGACCTAGCCTCTCCGGACCTCACAAGGCCACAAGCTCTGACTTCAGGTTCTGAAGTTATTCCATGCCCTACGATCACTCCGTGTTTAACGTAAAAGTCCTAAATTAGGATCATGGTTACATAAATAACCACACGTTTGCTCAATGGAATTCCTTGCTGTGTCCTTTAAAATGAGGTGGCTGAAGGATATTTAGTATTTTCTCTATACTAGGGAAGGATGTATTAACAAAAAATAGC